TATGACACCCCTCACAAACAGATGGCTCCAAACGTTAACCGCCGTTATATGATTGTATCATGAAATGGATGACAGGAAGGGTGTTGGGTTTTGTTGACTGAAAAACTAAGGCTGAATTGGCTTCTCAATCTATGATGTGGATTGGATCAGCATGTAGCATGGGAGACGTCACCCCCATATATGTCAGGCAGGCATTAGTCCGACTGTGGCAACATAAAAATGTCATGCCCTTGCCACTCATCAACATTTTTCATCCTTTTTTATTGGACCCCTAATTCCATTAATCCTCCCCAAAAATATTCATAGTGCAAATCCAACGGCCCTCATTTTACTTCATTATATGCACTTAAAGCACCCCTCTTTTTGTCCCCCCGCATACTTAAACATCAAGAGTAAATCACAAATTCGGTCATTCAACTTTCTTCTTACTCTTATTTGAGTCATTAAAATATAAATTGTTTTAGTTTATTCGTTAAATTTTTTTATTTGTTACTGTTTTGGCCGATCAGATTGAAAGGGTGACACGACAGCCACATGTGTTGGTATAAACTACTTTTTTATGAAAGTCATGTGTCATTCACATGATTTGCTCTTCTTTTTCTTTCCTTTTTATTGATTTTATCTTCTTCTTTCAAACATGAAAGTTTTACGATTTCATCTATGTGTCACGTCATCACTACAATTACTATATTTTAGTGTCTTCTCACACCAGTCAAGATATCAACGAATTAGACTTATTGACTCCTATCATTTTATCAATTTAGATTTTACTCAAATCACTTTAAAATCCAGTTTTAAACTCAAAACTCATAAAAACTCAAATCACTACAATCTAGGATTAAACGAGCTGAGTCAATTTCGAATATTGTTGAGCCCAACTCGACTCGAGTGCTTTAAAATTGAGCTCGACTCGGCTCGAAAGCTTGCAAGCTTAAAATCTTCAAGCTCGACTCAAATTTGAAATCATGATTTGGAACTCGAAAAAGCTAAAAATAAAAAAGTCTTAAACTTAACTCAGTTGAAGCTCAAACTCAAACTTGAACCTAAGTACATGAAAACCCTATAGTGTACTTTTAAAAAAAATCAACACATAAACATTAATATTATTACTAATTTATTTTTAATATATTGTTTTTTTAGTTGCATGCGAGCTTTTCGAATTAAGTATCAAGGAGCTCGTTTCGGCTCGTTAAGAACTTGAGTTGAGTTCGTGCTCGAGCCGAGTCCATTCGATTCGAGTATTTATTGAACTTTGACCGAGTCGAGCTCAAGTAGCTCATAATTTGTCTCGTCTTATTTGCACCCTTACTCCAATCTATATTATTCATCATCCGACCGACATGGAATCAAGATGTACAATTCGTTTCCTCCTTCTCACCTCCCTCCGTTAAGATTTGGAAGAAAATGTTTTACTATCGAGAAATTCACAATTAGAATTTTTTTCACACACAAAATGATGAAAGTTTTAAGTCCATTTTATAATTTTCAAAAAGAAAATAATCATAATATCGTTAAGTATTTAACGACAGAATGATAAAAATAGGAGCAAATCAAAAGTTCAGTAAGAAATTAAAAAAAATCTTTAGTGACTAAATTAGGATTGAAAAAAAATTGAGTGATAAAATTTATAATTATCCTAACTCAAATAATATATAAAAATGAAATTAAGGTTGACCTAACAAATTTAATAAAAAAGAAATTGAAATAAAAGTGAAGAATAGTAAATGCTTCCAGATAAGTAGTAAAGTACGCGGCATCATTAACTTTATGTGTAACGACCACATGCCTGATGAGCGTGACAACATCTCATCATTAAATCTCATATTATTGCTCAAGTTAAACCACCAACCGCAGTTTTAAAACCCATGCGTACGGCGTCGTTTTCGCTAATCACACAATTAGCAACTAATTAAATTAAACCCATCGTGCAACTATAAATACAGCTTCCCCGTTTTCCCACATTCGCCAACCATTGTTTTTCAGATAATAAAGAAGAAGAGCGATTTTTTTTTAAAAAAAAGAAGAGAATATTTTGATCGTGATTTCTGAGGAACTCGCCAATGGCAACCAAAGTGTATATTGTGTATGTGTTATTAATTCTATTTTCCGTCTTTTTTTATTAATTATTTTTGGTGTGAAATGTTGTTGATTGTGATGCTTGACTGATTTTCTTTACTTCGGATGGGCTTGAGATTTGTGAGTGTTTTTCTTTCTTCTTGTAGCTTTTATTTGATTTAACTTTTGAAATTAGTTCATCTGCTTTATTTTGACTCTGCTGAACTGGGTTTTTCTTTTCTGTATTTATAATTTAACAGAAAGTTTGGAGTTTCGGTTAATCTTTCAATAGTTAGGGTGAACAATTAGTTTCCTTTAATTGGAATTCCTGGACGTTGATTTAGAAACAACATTAGAAGTTATTGACATCAGTAGTTTTCTGTATTTATAAATTTCTTGGCGTCATTTCTAAACAACACCGGACATCATGTAAGCCCATGGCATGTTCTTTTTAGGAGTGATTAGTTCTATACTATGCAATTATTATTATTATGAACTAAATTTGCAGGTTTATACTTCTTGGTTCAGTATTTTAGTTATATTCTTATTTCCTAGTTTATGGCAGCATTAACCTTATAGCCCTGTGCCCTGTGTTAACTTATTGTGGATGAATAATGATGTAAGGTAATTGGTTCATAGTTTTTCTGTTTGTTTTGCCCCTTATATAGGTTCCTTTTCCATATTTTTTTCTCTGTCACAAATTTATCCAGGCATTGCTCTTCAAGCTCCCCCACTTTTTGAGTCATATTCCATTTATCCTGAAAATAGTTCTCAAAGTGTTGGTTTATGGGCCGGCACGCCAAGTTTAGAACTATAAGAGATTTCTTGTTTGAATGTTACGTTGATATTTTATGATTTCAACTCAGACTTCATCACTTGCTGATTGTTGGTTGATTGTAACTTGTTGTGATTCACAGTTTGTCGTGTGTTGAACTAAGTGGTCCAGTGGTGTCCGAAATTCAGTTTAAACTCTTTGACCATACTGTTTCATGATGATAACCAAAGACTTTGTTACCAGTCAAAATTCCGCCATAATGTATAATATAACTCATGAAAACTGGTACCTTCCTTTTTTTTTTACTTAGAAAAATACTTCTTGGTTTGGTCATGTTCTCTTTTTATTATTATATTTTTTATGATCCTTTTTCTCTGTTAATCTTAATTATGCTTTGTTCTTTTGTGAATATGGTGAACTCCTTTTATCAGATCGTTTTTGGGGGGATAAATTTTGATCAAATCTTCTCACTTACGTTATAGATACTATTCCATGTATGGACATGTGGAAAAACTTGCAGAGGAAATAGAGAAAGGTGCTGCATCTGTTGAAGGTGTTGAAGCCACACTATGGCAGGTAATAACGTGCACCATGCTGCTGTGGTAAAAAAACTGCTTTATTTATTTACGAATACGGAAAGGTTGGGAGTATTTTTATCTAGGAAATCATTATAAATATGATTTGTGTTTTCATTGAACCTCCTTGATTTGATTCATTGCCTTTAATTTGTTTAACCAAGTTTTGTTAAGCCCTGTTGTTTCATATTCATATCGATAAGCTTCCCAGGATTATTTGTTAAACAACATTTATAGAATTGAAAATTTAAATGAAGTAATTGTGGTATATATTCGGTACAGGTTCCCGAGACTCTATCGGAAGAGATCCTTGGAAAGATGAGCGCACCACCGAAAAGTGATGTACCGATTATTACACCACAAGATCTTGCCGAGGCTGATGGGTTTATTTTTGGCTTCCCAACAAGATTCGGAATGATGTCTGCCCAATTCAAAGCATTTATGGATGCAACTGGAGGTCTATGGAGAACTCAGCAACTTGCAGGAAAACCTGCCGGGATATTCTATAGCACCGGGTCTCAGGGTGGCGGACAAGAGACTACACCGTAAGCTCTTATATCAACATCATATAATAGATTTATGACATCAAGTTTTGTATGTAAATCTTTTTTTTCCCCAAATCAATCACAGGTTGACTGCAATCACTCAGCTTGTTCACCACGGGATGATATTCGTTCCCATCGGGTACAGCTTCGGTGCAGGGATGTTCGAGATGGAGCAAGTGAAAGGTGGAAGCCCTTATGGTGCAGGAACCTACGCCGGAGACGGATCAAGAATGCCATCCGAACTCGAGTTGGCACAAGCTTTCCACCAAGGGAAGTACATCGCCGGAATCACAAAGAAACTCAAGACAGCTGCCTGATTTCAATTTACTTACAAAAGAACCCCCACTATTTTGTACAGCTCAAATGCAAAATGATTGGAATTATGTTTTAATATTTTTTTGGTAAACTACATATTTAGTACTTAAACTATCTATTTTGATCCGTTTTAGTATCTAAAATTTTATTTTTTTATAAAAAAATTATATATAATATTTAGTTTTGTTTCATTTTAGTATCATACCGTTAAAAACTTGACGGAAGCTATCAATTTTGGTCTCCACTGAAAGTATTAAATGGATAAAAGAAATTACATATTTTTAAAAATATAAAATATTACTTGTTTTTACCTTCCAATAGAAGCTCCTCAATGTGACCACTCAAAAAGTACCAAAGCATGCCTTAGTTCTGTGGAGATTTAAGATTATTAAATAAATGGTAATAAACATTTAAAATCATAGTAGAAAAAAGAAAATATATTCATTAAAAAAGAGTTATTTTTTTTGGCTTCTTTTCGTTTTTTTTCCACTTTGGGACTTCACCTTTAAATGGTGACTTCTTTCATTCTTCCCCACAAAACAACTTGTCTAGGGTTTTGATTTCCCGATAAGAATATTCACTAACGGTTGCGAGAATCGGTTCCGTTTACTTACATATATCTTTCAGCAAGAATGGATCTAAAATTTTAGGTTAAGAATGAAATTATAAAATTTTAGGAGGACGAATTTCGTTGGTCCATCCTGTATATCAGACCCTTTTTCTCTTTTTCACTTTCTACCTGAGAGTTGCTCCAAATGTTGGTGTCCAGAAGTCAACAGGCGAGTCGTGTGTCAATGGAAATGCGCTGGACACCGGCACCAAGCATAGTTCTCGGCTTCTTAGATTCCCTTCAGGGTCATTGGATTTCTCAGGATCCTGTCGTTAATGCAATATAAAAAGTTTAATAATCAATTATGAAACTATAAGCTATATATATATATACCAAGAAAAATATAATGCTGTATTGGTAGTACCTGCTGGTATTGTATGGCAGCTTCGTTGTTTTCCATGTATGGGATACTTAAAGCCTAATACAAAACAAAACCTAGCTTGATCAGACTGTTAATTAACATTTTATGTTTTCTTGTAACAGGAATAACTAGTAGGTGTTGATGGGAACTTACACTGACTTGTTCATGGAGGAACTTTATGTATTCAATGGCTTCTGAGAGCACTGAGGCTGTATTAGTCTACGTATAATTAACAATATAATTAAAATTATCAAATTATGCTGATGAACTCTGATGAACAGTATTTGCTTAAGAAAGCAAAGCGAAAATTTAAATGGATGATCAGAAAACTCACTTTTCCGAAAGATGAAGCCAACTGTTGGAGTGCAGTGGTTCTGTCCTCCATCTTCTCTTTTCTCACCTATGATTTTCAATCAAAGCTATTGAATTTGAAAATAAAACAAAAAACAAGGGTTTCAAGGAAAATCAAATCCTGTTTGTGGAAAGTTTTATCAAGCTGATGGTACCTTAAAAGCTGGCATAGTTGATGGGGTTTCATTTCGTGGCCTTTTAGAAGTGGATTCGTTTCCACTTTTCTTCTGCCGACATTTACAAAAAAAATATTCCAAACCCTAATATAGAAAAATCTGATAGTAAAAGATTCTTCGAACAAGGTTTTTTTTTAACCTTTGGTTTTTCATCGAAGGTTCCCGTTGGAAACTGGGGTTGCAATGATGGGAAAACCCCAGGCTTAACATGATCAGCCATGGAAGCTGAAGATGGGTTCCAAAAAGGAGCATTGTTTGAGAAATGTAACTGCCTATATTGATAATTGGTCGAACTATTCTCATGAAACAATTGATCTAATCCTGTTTCTTGCTGCTGCTGCTGATGATGATGATAGTTGGCATTTGATGTACCCAGGTTAATAGGCTATGGTCTTGAAGCATGGAACTGAAACTAGACTCAGGCTTCTCCCCACGGCTATTTCAACAAAGACTAAAGCTTTAAACCAACAATTTCCAGTTTATCAAAGAATCAATATTTCAAGTATACTTACAGCAAAAGCTTGGTTCCAATCCATGGCTTGAAGAACCGAACTACCCAAAACCGATGAGACCGAATCCATTGAAGACCTTGCTGCAGCTGTTGTTTTGATATCAGCCATTTCAGTGGCCCAACCAAAGCTATTGTTTAACCCAGAAGATGAACCGGCTGTCCTCGATGAATCCCACCAATTTGTTCTTGTATTAAACTCATCTGCCATAGCCAAAGAAACTAAGCTGCTGCTGCCTTATGGTTGCTATTGTGAATTACTTTGTTTGAGATTTATGGTTGAATGAAATGATAGAAAATGATTCGGTGTGTAGAAACTGCTAACAACACAGTTTAAACCAGAAGTAAAGAGAGGTGAAAGGAAAGAAAATGTTGGCTATTAGATTGATCTAGCCCTTGACCAGAAGGTCTTCTTATATAGCCACATGCTTTTCTTAACGGGTTAACACTATAAGTTCAACCCAATAGAAAGTTGGCTTAACTGAATAAACTAACCTTAACAGAAACGGTTAGTAACTAACAACTCCAACTGACAATCCCTGTAGCTGACACCACTCTATTCTTAACAGTTTAAACCAGAAGTAAAGAGAGGTGAAATGAAAGAAAATGTAGGCTATTAGATTGATCTAGCCCTTGACCAGAAGGTCTTCTTATATAGCCACATGTTTTTCTTAACGGGTTAACACTATAAGTTCAACCCAATAGAAAGCTGGCTTAACTGAATAACTAACCTTAATAGAAACGGTTAGTAACTAACAGCTCCAGCTGGCAATCTCTCCAACTGGCATCACTCTATTCTTAACATTCACCCCGCTCTTCAACTTCTCCAAGTAAAATAAATTAAACCTTGTGCAGCTGAAGCCTTTGCAGTGAGACCACATTAAGCTTTTGACAAAATTCCTGAAACTGAGTTGTAATCAATGGCTTGGTTAACACATCGGCAATCTGATAGTGTGCTGGAACATAATTGACAATTAACTGCTTATCCATCACCTTTTCACGAACAAAATGTACATCTAAGTCCACATGCTTAACTTTGGCAGGATCGGTAGCCATTGCAACAATACTAGTGTTATTACACCATATAACCGGAGGTTGAGACAACTCTACATTCATATCTTCAAGAATTGCTTTTACCCAGAGAACCTCAGACGTTGTATCAACAAGACTTCGATATTCTACCTTGGATTTGGATCGAGACACTGATCTCTGCTTGCGAGAACTCCATGATAGCAAATGATTACCTAAGTAAACACAATATCCAGAAATCGAACGCCTATCATCTGGGTCACTACCCCAATCAACATATGTAAAGGCCTTGATCTGAAGCTGTCCTTGGTGCATGGACAACCAAAGTCCATAATCCAACGTTCCTGTTAGATAACTAAGGATGCGTTTAACCCCCACCCAATGAGCTTCACAGGGTGACTGCATAAACTGTGCAACTTTATGAACAAAAAATGCAATATCTGGTCTAGTATGACACACATAATAACGCACCAACTGCACTACGATATTGTTGAGCATTCACTGGAGCTCCTGCATTCTCAGTACTCAACTTAGGAGTGACAGGTAGAGGTGTTGTAACAACCCGAATATTTATAAAATAGTATTTAATTGAAATTGGAGGTTAATTGTGAAAATTGGCAAAAATTTGGGGACTAAATTGAAAGATTTTAAAACTTGGAGCTTGTTTTAGAGTTAAAGCAAATTCAGGGACTAAGCCCTAAATTTACCCAAAAAAGTTAGATAAGTTTGGGGTTATATGTTATATACGTGTGGTTTCTGTTTAAAAGCAGAAAACCACACTCCCAAATTCCCTTCCCCCTACGCCGATTTCCGACTTAGATCCCGACGCCGTCCGAATTCCGATCATCGTTTTGAAACCACCATTGTGTTCATCATCGAGCGAGAAACAAACCCTTCAAATTAATTGAAGCGAAACGCTGCCAAACGTCGGGAATTTCCAGTCAAAGTCTCGACGTTTTATTTAGCTCGATCGCCGGGAAAATCTCAAATTCATCACCGATCGTTGCTCCGTTTACGACACCTCCTGTACCATCGTGTTCCTTGTATCGTTGCGAGTCCGTCAGTGTCAATCTTGTTCTCCGTCGACGGCGACGCGTGAGGAGGTGGAGCAGTCAAAGATTCGGCCGAGTTGAAATTCGAGCTCTCTGCCGTTCAAAAATTTGAACCGATCGTTGTAAGTATCTCGAAATCGCTCAAAACAATTTTTGGGAATTTTCCGTAATTTTTAGACCACCGGAGGTGGTCTCACGCGCCACACGCGCCGCCGCAGGGAGAGTGAGCAGCTGGAAAATAGGTTTGACCAGTTTTGAACCGGTTTTAGAGTTAAAGAAAATTCAGGGACTAAGCCCTAAATTTACCCAAAAAAGTTAGGTAAGTTTGGGGTTATATGTTATATACGTGTGATTTCTGTTTCAAAAACAGAAAACCACACTCCCAAATTCCCTTCCCCCTACGCCGATTTCTGACTTAGATCCCGACGCTGTCCGAATTCCGATCGTCGTTTTGAAACCACCGTTGTGTTCATCATCGAGCGAGAAACAAACCCTTCAAATTAATTGAAGCGAAACTCTGCCAAACGTCGGGAATTTCCAGTCAAAGTCTCGACGTTTTATTTAGCTCGATCGCCGGGAAAATCTCAAATTCATCACCGATCGTTGCTCCGTTTACGACACCTCCTGCACCATCGTGTTCCTTGTATCGTTGCGAGTCCGTCAGTGTCAATCTTGTTCTCCGTCGACGGCGACGCGTGAGGAGGTGGAGTAGTCAAAGATTCGGCCGAGTTGAAATTCGAGCTCTCCGCCGTTCAAAAATTTGAACCGATCATTGTAAGTATCTCGAAATCGCTCAAAATAATTTTTGGGAATTTTCCGTAATTTTTAGACCCCCGGAGGTGGCCTCACGCGCCACACGCGCCGTCGTAGGGAGAGTGAGCAGCTGGAAAACATGTTTGACCAGTTTTGAATCGATTTCGACCGGTTCGAACCGGTCTGACTGGTCTGAACCAGTTTGACCGGTCTGACCCGACCCGACCCGACCGTTGACCGTGACTGTTGACCTCCTTTGACCAAAACTTAAAATGGCTTTGACCGACCATTAAACGACCGTTAATCTTTTTCGAGTATACCTATTCTGATAGTTTTCGACGTCCCGAATCTATTTCCGAAGTCTGTTTTGTCAAATTCGAACTCGAAGGCCTCCAAATCGACGGTTAAAGTGGTTGACTTTGACTTTGACCAAGAATTTAAATTTTCAAAAAGTCATAGTTTATGTTTTTCGACGTCATGATTCCGATTCCGTAATTCGTTTGACTAAATTCAGACTCGAAATCCTCCAAATTGATAGTCAAACCCTGAAAATACTGATATACTTAAGAGTTTTAGCTTTGAACAATTAAGTAAGATTTGGGGCTGATAAATTATTATTGTTTGAAGGTACAAGAGATTCTCCGGATCGTTCGACAGCTCGACCCAGCTCTTCTAGATCAGTTAAACCACGTGTGCCAGTATTCACCCGTAAGACCCGTAAATTTTATGATTTTAGAGATTTATTTATGTTACCCATAAGTAATATAGGGTTATTATAAAATAGGTTCGAAAACTATAGCATAGCGTGGTGAAACCAGCAATCAGTAGATCTACTATTTGAACCTATTATCGAGGTGTGTTCTCTAATTATTACTGAACTGTTTTATTGGTTTTAATATGAGGTACACTGAGTTCTTTGGTTACTGTTTTATTGATGCACCAATTTAATGTGATGATTTATGGAATTTGTGATACGGTGCAATTGAACTTTTGGATTAAATTACAATAGTATAGCTCTGATCAAGCTAATAAACAAAATGGGCCTAATGTGACTCTTGGGGCCCCAAGATACATTAGGTTGGCTTCCCTTGTTGTGTGCTTAGGGTAAGCTATATGGACTTGGACTTACGGGCCTAAGGATACAAGCTCTAAAGCTTATCCTTAGGTTGGCTTTCTTTTTGCTGTGTGCTTAAAGTAAGCTATGTGGAAAATAGTTTTGGGAACTACTGATGGTGTACAAGAAAAGGGTTTAAACTATGATTTTCAAAAGTTAAACTCTTTTATGAATTTATGAGATTTACTGGACTATGATTTGTTTAATGTGCCTATTGTGATTTTAAGGTAATATTGGGACACACTGAGCCTAGCTCACATTTCGAAAATGTTTTTTCCCTTTCAGATACTGTTGGTTAGATATCTCAGTTCGAGCACTTAGAGGATCAACATATCTCTTGAAGTATATTTGATTGTAATGTTTTTATCATTCAGGTTGACTTTATTTTGGTGACATGGACCTTATTTTAAAGTATTGGATTTTATAGTGATTACACTTTTGCTATTAATATTCGGTTTATCGTGATTTTGATTTTTAAGACATGTTTTAAATTAATTTTTTACTTATTGGTATTATATTTATGAGTTGGGTTTTGATAGTATAATATCATGTCATTTATAATGTGATTTTACAATGATTGAATAACGGTTTCAGAAAATGTCTTTAAGAATCATGTATGTGATCCACTAGACTTAGTCGAAACGCATAGGCCGGGTCTAGGGGCTATATTTATTTGTATCAGAGCTTTTGGTTTTTAACCCTCGCACTGTGTATGAGTCCACATTGAAAATACGGTTTTAGAAATATTTTACAAAACAAGTTACTAAGGCCATGTCACAAGTTATTAAGATTTTAACTGTGTTCGAGACTCCAAGTGCTTGTCTAACCCTAAGTTTTATCTCCTGTAGTAAACTCAAGATCCACACAAAAATGAGTGCTAGACGTGGTCGTCGAACTAGCCGTGGACGAGGTCGAGTGGCTAGATTTACAGACCCGGTCGATGAGATACGAGTAGATCCCCCTCCTCCGATAGGTGATCCTGCTCCTACGACCCCAACGAATCTGCCTCCTGCCGCTGGTATTGGCATGACTACACCGATCATAGGAGCGACCGATATTGAGTCAGAGTCTACCGGAGTTGATTTGGATGAGAATTTTAGTAGACAATTTCTGCAGTTGATACAGGGAGCAGTAATAGCTACTGGTGTTGTATCAGAGGTTCCTATTTCGCAGACTTTGATTGCCAATGGAGTTAGAACTTTTGAGGGACAGATTGGTGGAGCTCCTACTGAAGCTGAGGATTGGCTCCAGGATACAGAGAGA